CTTTTCTGGAGTGGTCTTGAACTGGGAAGAAGGGTTTTTTGTGTTGTTTTTTTCAGATCTTACTTTCTAATGTGCTCTGAAACAATTGCATACAGTAGGATATATATGGTATTCTCCATTTTGCTGTTTTTTAAATTAATACCAGTCTTTCTTCTCCTAGGATGTAGATGCTTATTTATTACAACTACACTGAGATGTTTGGAGAATGAGGTGTGCATATTTGGCTAAATAATCCCTTAGAATATCTCTGGAATTCGTATCGTTTCCAAAAGACTTCTCTTCTGAGAACTGTTGACAGAAGAGGACTGGATCTTCAGAACCGTTTAATGAAACCACTAACAAAATCCTAACAATCTACTTCACATTGAAGTGGAAAAATGTGTAATAGGAGCAACTTTTACTTCAGTGAGGTGAAAGTGCACTATGAAGACTGTATGCCTTTGCTGCATTTGGGATTTGTCCAGTTACTCAGTAAAGTTGTTTAAGTGCTACTGTATTTTACTACACTATTGCATAAAAGAATATAAATTGTACCATCATGAAGACAACTATAGAACCAGTTATAAGGAACCAACAAAACCGATCACCATAAAGGCTTTTTATCTGTTTCACAAGAGATGTATATGTGCTATTATTTTCAAGTTACATTGAGAAATGTTTATTTACTATCTTATTTTAATCAAAATATTAAAGATGTTTTTGTTTGCACTATTGAGAAACTGTATACAACAAGATGCCTTAATTACTACTAGTGTTTTTAAAAAATGCTTGAGGTATTGAAATACTAATCTATTATAATCAACAGATAAAGACATATTGAACACTGCTATAAAAATCGGGGTTTTGCATCATGTGGAACTCAATTTGTGAAACTTTTTGCACATTGACTAAGTGGATGTTTCCACCATGTCTGATGTTAAGAGACTCATCTCATATGTGACATAACTAAAAATATATGAATTTAAGCCTATACAAATGCTTATTGCAAACTTCTGCAGATGGGTGTATACGTTCACCAAACACACTCTTTTTATTACGTGTTGATTTCTAATATGATGATCTCCAGTTCTGTATCATTTAAATTATGTGCAGCTAAGTAAATATACTAAATTTATGTATGTTTTTTTTCTCTTTAAGCTCAGAAAACCTTACCTCTTTATTTCTAGAACAACTTCTTCCACACTACTTTTTATTACAGATATTTATATCTACTACTCTAGAAATGTTTACAAACAGAATAAGCCGTATTTTTCAGATATAACAACATTTTATATGCTACCTCCTCTTTAAAAAAAGTTGATAAATAGTTTTTCAAAACTACTTAGTTTTCCTGATTTTTAATTTTGGCAAATTTATGCTACCTTTTTAAATCCAAAGGGAACCACAGTGAAAACAAAATCAAAACAGTTCATAGCTGTCTTGTCTTACTGATGTGATTTTTAGTTTGCCTATTACAGCTTACCTACTGTGGAAAAAATCTGGGGTTTTTTTAAAGCTAACCACTGTCTTTATTCTGTAACCAATGAAAATGCTTTTCCAGATAAAAATTCTACAGGTGCCACTGTGCTCTTAAAACAAACTGAAAGATGGAACATGCACCCACCAAGCAATTGTATCAGTGCAAAACAAAGATGATTATAGAACTTTTTTTCACACTTAATTTTAACTATTATAGTTATTGTAGCTTCATGTATATTCCACTGCACCTCCACACAGGAAAAAGATTTCATGCCTGCTCTTTATATATAGGGGCGTCTCTGAAATGTCTATATTGTAAATTCACTATGTGGGGAGTCTAAGTTTCCTTGAGTTTACATGTCATGAATGCTAACTTCTAAGGGTTAACTAAGAAAAAATATCTTCAGAATTTGGTGCTTACATTTTGTATAGTTGACTATCCCCTACCTTGTGAAAGAGTATGAACATCTCAACAATGCCATCTGTCCAAGGAATAAGAAACTTGATAGTTTCCAAAGCTGTTACTGCTTCAGGACAATCTTTCAGGACATTAAACAGGGTACTTCAGATAATTTGGAAGTTTTATGTTTTCCTACAATCTTGTTTCTATGAGAGAAATCATTTCAAGAGTTCAACCTAGCTGGATTTTTTTCACCTGATAGTTTTTTATAATTTTAGATACCCATCCTTAGTTCTCCCAGTAGAAGGTGAAGTTTGATTCAAGCTTACTGTAGCTAAAAGAACTAAAAAGGTTATCTGCCTTTTTTTTTTTAAAAGAAGTCTCCCTAGTAATGCACTAAGAGTTTGAAATGGAATTTCTTCTTTCCAGTATAGTAAGTGGATTTGTGGAACCAGTACCATAAAGGAAATTTAAAGCAAAGATGTTTCTGTCCTGTATAGTGATCCTTCATGATACAGAAAGATGACCTTCTAAATTTCCTTTCTTTTGAATTTGACTTGTGATTACTAGATCTTTTAAAAATGCTTTTGAAAGGTACAGAAAGGTAAAGAAGGAAAGTCATATTTTTTTGTTGATGTTTCAGTGGAAGGAAACAAATTTCTTGTCAATTTAAAAAAATGGAAGGTGTCCTGAGGCTAAATGAAATAACTACTGCAATTTCAAATGAAATGCACCTCTTTAATCCAGTGTGCCAAATGCATTATGGTCTAGAAGCAAAAGTAAAGCTACTTGTAAATAATATGGAACTTTCCCACCAAAAAATTCTATTTTAGCAAGCTTAATAAGAATACAGTATTAAAAATGTCTAGCATGTGTGCCTTATTTGAATGGGCTTATCTCCTAATTTGTACTTATTTTAGGTAGCTATTAAACTATGTACGAGATGTAAAATCTTTTCAGCCTCTGCAAGAGAAGGCCGAGAGGCGATCTTGTGGCGGCCTACGAACTCATTTCGGGGTCAGCAGGGAATAGGGGACACTGTTTACCAGGGTGCCCCTCAGAGTTACCAGAAATAACGGCCACAAACTGAAGGAGAGTAGATTTAGATTGGACATAAGGAAGAAATTCTTTATGGTGAGGGCTGCCAAGATATGGAATGGGCTTCCAAGGAAAGTGGTGGCTTTCTCCAATGTCTCTCTCTCTCTCTCTCAGATCCATAAATAATTTTTTGGGGGTGGGGGGCGGTGTTTTGTTTTAAAAACAACCTTTTGCCTATACCTGTACTGCCACTTGCTGATCAACTGAATGGCTTCTGTCAATGCTGACAAATTCTTTTTTTCCTCATACAGTACTTTAATCAGATCATAGTTACTAAAGATTAAATTCAGATGGAAGGCAATATTGAGCATACCTCTGTTAAACTTCTGACCCAACAGAAAGTTAACTTTCACTATAAGTTACACTGAGGGGGGAGAAATTTGGAAAGCAATGAATTCAGTTTTAAACTTGAAGGCTTATTTTTGTTTGCTTTGTTGTGATATTGAAGCATGTATCTACTTGAGAATGGAGGCTGTGACACAGCAGTGTTCTTTATTACACCACTGAAGATGAAATTCTTGTCTTTTGAAAAATACAAGATGCTGTGTTGGAGAATATATGTTTGTTTTTACTTCAGTACTTGCAGAAAGTACCTGAGGCTATACTATTAAAACAGTTTTGACAGGAATTGCAGACTAGGGCTTGCCCCAACTCCCTACACAGCCCCTGAGCAAATTTTGAACTGGTCTCAAAGAACCAATGTGAATTTCTACTATCGGTATCCATGTTTTAGTAATTCTGACACCTTGCTTAAGAGACTGAGATTGGGAAAAGCTAAACAATTAAGTTGAATGCAAAGAATCCTTGTTTTTAAGCTGATATGATTCTATTTGGAGGAACCAAGACAGCATATTTCTTCCTAAAGAACAGCAATCGTAATTCACTTCTGGAAGCTGAAAACTCTTACATCTAAGATAAATCTTGTAGTGTGAATTTTCCTAACATCTCAATTTTTATTCTGTCTCGTAATAAAAAAAAAAATATGTGGAGTGTGTGTGCATGTTTGGGAGCTGGCACTAGATAGTATGCTATCTAGGTTTTCTTTCCTGATCTTCCCTTTCCCATTCCACAAGAAAGAAAGTCTTCTGCATTACTCTTCCCATACTGGCACCTAGAGTGTAGTAGATGCTTTTTTACTTTTTGGGGGTTTTTTTCTTTTACTGAGTTTACAGACTAGAAATGCTGTGTTGCTTTATGCCTCCCACTAGTGGCATATGTAATATAATCAAATTGTAGCTCAGGTGTTTTTGTTTCTGGACTACTCTTCTGAGTTCTAAATGCAGGGTCCAGCTGACCAGCTAGCCCTCTTTTTGTTTAAACTTAATACATGAGAGAATACCAAAAAAAAACAAAAACAAACCCAACCCCAAAACAATTCATTTTAAAGTTTTAAAATCCACCCTGAATTACTTGCCATATGAAATTTCTGTTTAGTGTGTGTAAAAAGACTTGCTTGTTGCCATCTTTTTTTTGTTAGTGATCCCAATTTATAAAAACTTTATTGACAGCCTTATTCAGCAGACTCCACAGAAGCCCAGCACCTGAAAAGCTATGGAGACTAAACTACACATTACCCTCTTGCACTTAAAAGAAGTTTCTTTTACCCACAGCTGAAACTTAAATTGGTAGAGCAGCACAGGAATGCTTTGCTAATGTTCATGGTGTACTTTCATTTTAAACAATGAATTATGCAAAAATAGTCCCTGTGACTTTGAATGTCCAGTCTAATGTATGAGAAGAGGTAATCATGGGATTCAATTGCCATATAATAGTTAATAGTCATATAATCTAAAGACGTTTGCCTGTTCTTCTGTTGCTAAAAAATACAAAAATGGAAGAAACCAAATGCTGGAAAACTTTAAATACCATGTACTACATTAGTAATACATTTCCAGTAAGAGTTCCATGTCATTATATAAATATTTGTGTAAAAACATTCAAAAGTTTAAGTGGGCATTCATGATTTGCAAGTCTGTATAGTGCTTACTTTCTTAACAGGGGAAGGTCTTAGGGAAGCACAAAACCACAGCTGAGTTCCAGTCTAGACTGATGGTGTCTTGCTTATGGCCTTGAGCAATATTGTGAATCTTAGCCTTCTCTTCCTGTGTAAAAACATACAATGCTACTGGCTGCCTTCCTAGCGTGTATGCTTATATTTTTAAGATAGTTAATGTTTGTAAAATGTGTTAAAAATAAAATCTCATCATTTTCAAAGTGGATTGGTATTTTTCAAAGGCTATTTTTAAATATTTGACCTAGTGTAGCAGTAGCGTATGTAGCTGTCAAGTTTGTGGTACACCTTTTTATGCAAACAGATCACCTTGACTGTTTTGATCAGTACAAGTCTCCCTGTCTATTCTAGAATTTTTTTTTTAAATTCATTTTTAATAGTTCAGTCAAACCAATAACTAGTAAGGAAGCTATAATGTAAACGGGCCCCTATCTAAAATTTATTTATTGATTGATTGATTTTTTTTTTTGCATAAGTATGACATCTGTATACTCTTTTACCACTGCAGATTTTTTAAATGAAAACATGGTACCCAAAGTAATGACTGTAAAAACAGTGCATCATAAACCTGATGTAGGTATTTCTGCAAATAGGCCTCTGACTTTTCTATAATATGGTGTAGTTATCTGTAAAGAGGGTGAGCAAGCTGTCTACATGAATTTTTGTGCATAGCAAAAACACTGAGTTTTACTGAAATCATAATTTTTTTCATGTTCAAGATCTGTAAGAGCACTTTAACTTGAAATACCAAGATGCAATCTGCATGGGTATTGTGTAATAACTAAAGCTGAAAAAAAAATCAAGATAATGCTATAACACACCCCAACGCTTGTTTAAAATACTTATGTGATTTTTTTTTTTTTAATCTCATGTAACTTCAATAAAGCTCAAAAGGCACAGTCAATTTAATTTACTCAGTTTTATAACAGTTTACAGTACAATCGCGACTTATGCGGAGGTTACGTTCCGAGGTCAGCGTGTATAGCTGAAATCTCCAGGCTCGGCGCCAAGCCACTGCTGCCCCCAGGTCCGGACAGGGCAGCCAGCTGAGCATGAACCCCCCAGCCATGCAAGCGCACGTAGGCAATACCACATGGTGCTGCACAGCACTGCACTACGCGCTGTGCCCCGGCCGGCACCCGGCGGCCAGCCCCAGCAGCTGAGTGCGTAAAGCCACGTTTGCGTAAGTTAAATACACATAAGTTGCGACTGTACTGTATATCACACTTGCCAAGTTTTGTTGGTTTTTAAAATGCACAAGAAATCTGCCAAATTGTCCAAAACATTGTCAACATTGCAAAGTAATCCAGTTAAAATATAGAATAGCAGAAATCTTTAGTATTTTCAGTAAATTGTAGGTGTTGTTACTTAAGTGCAAATGGACTACTCCATTTGGAGGAGGTTTTGTACTGCCTGAGTACAGCCTTTTTAAAACCTATGTAACCTCCTATTTTATTACAAGTCACCTTACCAGAACATGGACTGGATTTCTACCCACCTAGGGACAGAAGTAACACACACCAGTTTAAGTGATCAGAAACTGGTTTAAACCTGAAGAACAGTGTGGGTGAGAAAAGAGTTTATAACTTGGCTGTGAAAAGAGACCAAAGGAAGACTCTCAACTAGTACTGGGAAGAGGAGCCTACAACAAATAATAAAAACCCTTACAGGTTTGCTGATAGTTTATGCCAAAGCATTCTTAACAGGCTTGGATCACAATTTTCTCTGGAGATATACATGCATTAAGGCCTTTGGCTTATCCATAAGAAAGGCAGTTCACTCAATAGCTTGAAGCCACTGTGGTTTAAGTATTTGTACTAAACATGTTCGATATTTCTCCCAAAAAGACCAAGGAGACTTCAGTAGCATTCAGGAACGACAAGTCTGGCTGTGCTAACATGTTTCTTGACTTGAAATCAAGGTTACTTTCATTGTCATAAGGTAAATACATGCTTAGTTTCCTTCATCGGTTGCAGATGGGAAAGCTTGGGCCTGCTGCTGTAGGCTGCAGCTTCTATTTCCCAGCTTGGTTAATAAAATGCATCCAACTGAACTGAACACTTGCAAGAACTCCATGATCTTACTTAAAGGGGCTCAAAAGTTTTATCAGAACAGATGTAACCGAAGGTACATAAACAAGGATAGGTGATAAACCAACAAAAAACCTATACAGTCCCCTTTCCCCTCATCCACTTCTTTATCTTAAAAGTACTTGGGAAGTTTCACTCAGCTGGAATGGTCTTCCTGAGATGTGAGTGACAGATATAGAAAATGCTATAAGAGTATTTTTTTTTTCAAACATCTCCAGTTGCAGCTGCCTACTCCACCATCCTTTTTTCCTGAAGACTCCTGGTTTAGAATCCCTTTTTGGCTCAGGTTTAGGCCTGGCAGAAATAAACCTTTCTTGCTTAGAGCCAGACAGGTTAGTATTCCCAAGTTCATAAAGTCCCCATCCTTTTCTTATGAACCCATGTAGTCAGGGAGGCTAAATGTATAGCAAATCATTTAAAAAATAATTACCTTAATCTCCCCAGCTTTCTGAATTGCCTACAATTAGCCTACTTTTCTG